AACCGCCTTATAGGCGGAGGGAGGAGAAAAAAAAATAAAAGGAGGGTAAAAATAAAGTTTGGCCTATCAGCAAGACAACAATTAAACAAATATCAACAGACAAAAAAAAATCAAACAGGAGGACGTGCAAAAAATTATAACCACAAATGTAAACAGGTAAAAAAACCGCAAAACAAATATACAGACGAGAAAAATGTGAACAAGGTTCACAAAAAACGAAGAAAGAACAAAAATTTAAAGGACAACAGACAAGAAAGCAACAAATTACACAATAAAACTAATAGTTATAAACGGAAAAGAGAAAACGCAATACGTACGAAAAAAAAAAAAGTTACAATTTACAAAATGGCTGCCGCTAAAAAACGGTCAACCCAATAAAGAAAAAACGTTAAAAAAAAGAGGAGGGACAGAAATTACAAAAATTAAAACAAATATTATAAACACGTAGACTTTTTTTTTTTTTTAAAACGGGTAACACAGAAATAATTAACACGTAAAAATTAAAAAGGTCAAACGAGAAACGAAAAATAAACAGAAAAACTCCGGGGTGTGGGTACTGAAAAAAAAAATAGACTTAACACGGAAAAAGCAAAAAGTAAATAAAAATTAAAACAGAAATAATTAATAACAAAAAAAGAAGTAACGGTAAAAAGGGGAAGGAAATGAAAAGGAAAAAACAAAAGGTCAAAATAAGAAAGTTCGAAAAAATGACAAATTTAACAAAAGAGTCAAAAAAAATTCACGATAGAAAAATGGTAAATAATTAAATCAAAAAACTTAACTAAATTAAAGCAGTCAGAAAAGTTGAAAAAATAGTCCTTTGGTAGACAGCAAATATGTCTAACACCGGTCAGGAGAAGAAGCGGTGTAAACGCAAAAAAAGATCGCTTAATCTATTATTTATTGCACATATGTACAAATGTGGCACAAGGCCGAAAAGGGGATTGGGGTAAAGGACGGTCATCACTAGTCTTAGATTAAACTTAGCTAGCCACATTCACTGACCCTATCATACAGAACAATATTCCTTTCACCAAAACAACACATTTATCCATACCTTTCTTACTACAAACACCAAAATGCCTCTCTGACTCCATGAAAAAACCTAAATAATCCCCTTATGTACAAAATATTGTCTGTGGGGGGGAGGGGCATAAAAACAACAACTTTTAAAAATGAACCCCAATGAAAATATACAAAATGACAAAATATATTTACAAGAAACCAAATAAAATTAGTGTTAGTAATAAAAAAACCCCACAAACTAATGAAAGTGGCAGAAATATCAGTTAACCGGACGAAAACGATGCGGGACTTATGCAAATAAGACCACACTCATTCTTCCCAAGCATTCACACAGGCACACACTCATTCATACACAACAACAAATACGAAAAACACACACACGAAACGAAAGGCGCCCCGCATCTACCAGAGAACTGACATCACTGACCACCTAAAAAAAAAACGAGGGAGGGGATGGGGAGTTAAACTAAAGGAAAAGAAAATAGGGACAGAAATAAAAGGGGGACCAATGAGCAAATACACCCTAGCTAAGTTTACCGGAATAGAAAAACTAAAAAAGAAAAAAATACAAAAAACCTAATCTAACCTAACTCCGGGATGGGTCGCCTATGTTAAACCCAGGAAAACAATATCCTTAAAGCCTAACCGGCATCCAGATGCCACTCAAGGTCAGCCCCTTTTACTCGGCACATTCGCGCAAGAATCACCCACCTTTTGCTGAATTCCGATGAGGTGAGCCGCCGACTTTCCGTCCTGATCTTGACTTTAAGCTGATGCTTAAAGTACAAGATCAGTTGGGAAGAAGTGAACTTCTCGCCCTCATGGAATCCCTTCTGACGCGTCGTCCAAATCACGACTCTTAAAGATCGCTTAATCTATTATTTATTGCACATATGTACAAATGTGGCACAAGGCCGAAAAGGGGATTGGGGTAAAGGACGGTCATCACTAGTCTTAGATTAAACTTAGCTAGCCACATTCACTGACCCTATCATACAGAACAATATTCCTTTCACCAAAACAACACATTTATCCATACCTTTCTTACTACAAACACCAAAATGCCTCTCTGACTCCATGAAAAAACCTAAATAATCCCCTTATGTACAAAATATTGTCTGTGGGGGGGAGGGGCATAAAAACAACAACTTTTAAAAATGAACCCCAATGAAAATATACAAAATGACAAAATATATTTACAAGAAACCAAATAAAATTAGTATTAGTAATAAAAAAAACCCCACAAACTAATGAAAGTGGCAGAAATATCAGTTGACCGGACGAAAACGATGCGGGACTTATGCAAATAAGACCACACTCATTCTTCCCAAGCATTCACACAGGCACACACTCATTCATACACAACAACAAATACGAAAAACACACACACGAAACGAAAGGCGCCCCGCATCTACCAGAGAACTGACATCACTGACCACCTAAAAACGAGGGAGGGATGGGGAGTTAAACTAAAGGAAAAGAAAATAGGGACAGAAATAAAAGGGGGACCAATGAGCAAATACACCCTAGCTAAGTTTACCGGAATAGAAAAACTAAAAAGAAAAAATACAAAAAACCTAATCTAACCTAACTCCGGGATGGGTCGCCTATGTTAAACCCAGGAAAACAATATCCTTAAAGCCTAACCGACATCCAGATGCCACTCAAGGTCAGCCCCTTTTACTCGGCACATTCGCGCAAGAATCACCCACCTTTTGCTGAATTCCGATGAGGTGAGCCGCCGCCTTTCCGTCCTGATCTTGACTTTAAGCTGATGCTTAAAGTACAAGATCAGTTGGGAAGAAGTGAACTTCTCGCCCTCATGGAATCCCTTCTGACGCGTCGTCCAAATCACGACTCTTAAAGATCGCTTAATCTTCCGTCGTCTTCCGGTACCAACCCATATTTATATGGTCGGTACTCCACTTATGTAAATTAGGTGTATCATACACAACAGATTTTTATCTATTTGGGGTTTGCTGATTGTAACCAGCTTTACAATTTATAATCTGTAATGATATATATCTACTTAATAACACCATCGTCTGAACAGTACACCATTTTCGTTAATTTTAGAAAATTTAACAACTTTAATGTAAAAAAAAAAATTAAGAAATAACAAATTATTGCTGTAAAATTTTATTTTTCATCGAAAACAGTTTCCTTTCAGACAATATTATCCATATTCATAAAAAAACAAGTAAAATGAACTAGAAGATTTTAAAATTAAATAATATCTTTGTTTTATTGAGTTTTGTATGTTACAATACAGAGCTGATTTTAAGGTAGAGGGGTGTCAACCTAAAAAAAAAAGTGATTTACTTTCGTCAAAGCTTTGTGCTTTTAACTAATTAATCACTAAAAATGTACACATTTAAATTTCAAGAGTTTTCATAAAATTAGTTTGGAGTGGGGGGGGGGTTAATAAATATAAAAATGAATTACCATGACTTTAAAAAAATAAACATTTATTATAATTTCCATCATTCGTGAATAGTTTTTGAAAGTTTCATTAAAATTTGACAATTATTTTTATTTTTACAAGATTTTCAAAATGTTTGTCATAAAAAATACACAAAAATTGCTGTTATTTACTAAAAGTTCCACTCATGAAGGGAAACAAGGTTTTTAATCAAACGTTAGAATGTTCTAATAAAGACAGAAAATTTAAAAAAAAAAATAATTTAAAATTACTTTGTTCTTTACTCTTAATAGTAACAAACATTTTGACGATAAAATTTTGTTTTCGTCAAGTTTAAGGCCGTTATTAGCATGCTTATACTCATTTTCTAGCGATCTCACGCCAGTACTTATTTTAATGGTTAGTTTTTCCATTAGAGTTCTTCGGTGGATGACTTAAGAAATCACGTGTGTAGGTTGGAAATACATGATGGGATGGTCTTAAAATTTTATGTGTGCATCGTGGGATGACTTTCTACGGTGCATTTCAGTAAGACATTTTCACGGAGACGAAATATTTATATATTAAGATGGACAAAAATGCAGGAACGACTTCTTCCATTTAGTAGACAATCACGTTTACTTGATAGCCACCCTGATCTGATGATCCAGGTTAAATAAGTGTTTCTCAAGACAGAAATAATGTCAAATGTCCTGATGATCAAGTGCATATAAAACTGTAATACTGTTCCCACCCAGGAAGCCTACAAGCTCCGGTATATACCTAAAGATGCAGTCAGTGTATCACTATTGTCACAGTTGTTCAGTATTTTTCATTTGCAACTAACTGACAAACTATACAATGAGTCCTTAAACAACATGCAATATTATCAAGAAAAATTTGGAAGAAAGTAAGTTTCAATGAAAATAGTGCAGGCATTTTGTGCCATGATGATATGGGATGAATCTTAGTATTGGAATCATTACATGATTGTATATGCAGGAAATTACAGCCATTCCAGAGAAAAATGTTACAAGTCACTACTATTTATCATAAAGAAAAAAAGCTCACACTGTCTCATTAAAAAATAGAAAAAAATTACAATAAAACATAAAATAAAGAATGATTATATCAAGAAATTTTATTTTGTTAGTACAATAATTAATATAATTTTTTATTTAAAAATCTCAAATTGATTTATTTTTTATCATTCCTTACGAAAAAACAAAAACAAACAGAAGTTACAGAAAGCGGAGTTAATAAATCATAATGCACTACTATGAGGAGTTAATGCATGCTATTATTGTTGATAAAATTTCCATAACATACAACTTGTATCTTTATCACCGATGTTTCTTCCTTATTGCTATGATTGCGATTTAATCAAAGCTTCAGAATCAGCCTTCTAAATGAATTACAGAAAGGCAGAATTTCTGACGGGTTTCAAATTTTAATATGATAGAATATTTTTATGTTATTTAGCGACACTTATACCAATTTAACTAGAATAATGGCCTCCTTCAAGTTATATTGACATATGACTGCTTCAATGGCCGCGGTTCATGTGGTGTCCCTACGATCCAAATCGTTTACGGTACTCGTGATGTGACCATACCAATTTCGTTGGTAACGATGCTGTTTCCCTTCGGATAATTTGAAACCTTTGTACAAAGTCTGGTTTACTTTCTCTATAAATGAATACGAACTGTCGAAAAATTGAAAAAACTAATTTCGCTGCTTTGTTGAAGTCCTGGATGGAGGGTGGTAGTGCCATCCAGTGACGGACAGGATGCTGCGGGGTCATTCGCAGGGGATCGTCTGGCGTGTTCACCTGGTCGTTGAGGAGTTTCTCGAAGTGAGACCTCCACCTTGCCAGAATACCCTCGCTGTCGGTGAAGGTTGTAGCCCCGTCCACGTCCTTTAGTCCGTCCACTGATGAGCGTGTGGGGCCAAAAATGTCCTTTGTTGCCGCATAAAAGTTGCGCAGGTCTCGTTGGTCAGTGTAGCTTTGTCTTTCTGCTGCTTTTCTTTGCCACCAGTTGTTCTGGGCTTCTTGTATGCCTCTTTGGCAGTTAGCTACGGCTTGTTTATGAGCACGTTTATTGGTAGCTGTAGTCTGGTTCTCCATAGTCAGACGTGTCTGATGTTTAGTTTCAATGAGAGGTGAGATGGACCAGTAACTCTCATCGAACCAGTCCTGTATTTTCTTGTTTGAGTAGCCGATGGTTTCCTCCGCTGCACGGGTCATGGCGTCTCTGAGGGTGGTCCAATGGTGCTCCACAGAGGCCTGATCCACTGGGTCTGCAAGGTGGCGTTCGCAGGCTTCTCTAAAATTCTGTGCCAGCTGTGGGACGCAGAGATTGCTACAGTCAAAGCGTCGGTGCGGTACGCTGTCCGGTGTCCTTCTAGGTGGTCGAAGGGTTCTCGTAGATAGTCTGGAGATCAGGAGCCTGTGATCCATCCAGCAGACGTCCGCTCCTGGCATGGATCGGGCGATGCGGACGTCTCCCCTGTCTCTGGCTAGGACAGTCCAGAATGTGCCAGTGTTTGGACCGGGGGTGCCTCCATGTTGTCTTCTGTCGGTTCGGGAGTCTGAAAATAGTGTTGGTCACAACAAGTTCATGTTCCGCACAGAGACCCAGTAGGAGTTGACCGTTGGCATTACAGTTCCCGATATCGTGGTGGCCAATTATTCCCTCCTACAGGCGATGGTCCCTGCCTACTCGGGCATTAAAGTCACCCAGTACAATGAGCTTGTCGTTGGCGGTCGCTCTCTCTATGGTATGGTAGAGCTGGGTATAAAATGCGGCTTTGTCAGAGTCGGGGCATATACTGCAATCAGGGTGATGTGTCTGCCCCGCATGATGGGAATGCGGACAGTCATTAAGCGCTCACTGATGACCGTGGGAGCGAGGTTGTGCTGTTGCACGAGCTGGGCATACCACGATTGTCCATGGTCTCGAGTTCATATTCATTTTGCTTGCCCTATCAATGGCCTTAGTTTTCTAAGTTTTTCCTTAGTTTTCAATTTACATCGGAGTTGTTCCGTGACGTCTGCATCTCACCCGTGCACAACCTTATCACCCACAATCCGACGGTCAAGCTGAACATTTTGTGGACACGTTCAAACAGGCTCTACTTAAAGCAAAGTGCGAGGAAGCAACAACAGAGGAGACACTGCACGCTTTCCTCCTTTCTTACCGCTTAACACCAAATGGAGCAGTGAGGAAAGATCTATCCCCAGCAGAGGCACTCATGGGTCGAAAGCTCCGTACAATACTGGACGCCAGAACAACATCAGCAACAGCACCGCAAACAAAACGCAAGAACATACATTTCCAGTTGGCACACCAGTGTTTGCCAGGAATTACAGGTTTGGTCAGCAGAACTGAACACCTGACATCATTCATGAAAGAAAAGGAACAATACATCTTTGATGTACAAGTCAGAAATCAACTCTGGGCACAGCACAAAAATTAAACGTCCCAGATACACCCAAAATGACAGTTAACAACAGTCCATCTATTCCATTTGATTTACTGATGAATTGCTATCTCCTTCACCAGTCATTCAGGAAAACTGAAATGAGAATGAGAGACCTCACAGGAAATCACACTAGGATGTGGTACATGCAAGATGATCCTAAGCGTGCGTGATATGAATAAATGCTTAAAGAGGTATTAAAGGTATAGTTGGCTGTAACGAAAATATTTAAGAAAAGTTATCCCCCTTTGACCGGAGAGATGAAAAATAAGGGTTTTTACATCTTTTTTGCATTCTGAATACACGGAGTTCAGCCAAGACATCAAAGTGAGCTAAGACAGTTCTCCAAGGCCCACATCTTGTCATTACTGTTGTGGCCTGTTCAGGGGCCAGAAAGAAAGACACGGAAGACGAAGGTAGGTTGAAAAAAAGTATATTGAAGATATATACAAAACAATAGTGTTAGTAATAAGTAGATTAGCACTGCATCTAATACTCTACTCCACTTCTCCGACTATCGCAGTTTGTATTTATGAGAAGAGGAAGAGTTCATTCTACTGTAGGAGGGTTTACCACAACAACCCCCTCCTAAAATCTGCGTAGGAGTCTGAGGAATTTTTTTTCACATGTACCCGACTTGTTTTACATCATTGGAAAAAAAAAAAAAAAAAAAAACGCGTTTCCTTTTTACATCTGGCTAGGAATTTAAAACTTGGCTGACTTGTTTTGCGAAGTTCAACGTAAAAAAGCTTGCGCATATTTGTTTGTGGTCTCAATATCTTTTACGTTTAGGATTAACCACCATCAAATCCGTTGCTTTTCTTTTTCTCTTGGAACGGCGCCTTTCTGGAGCCGCTAATGAGGTCTGAATATCAAAGGTGTCGTAAATGACGTCCATCACCGTCTCCTCAGAGAGTCCGTTATCATTCTCGTCCGTTAGACGCTTCCTGAGTTGATTGATATGCCTTTTTATGAATAAATTTCGGACCCTTAATCATATACATCATGTTACTAACTCTTTTCTCTATCGTACCCATCTCCCAAAAAGATGTTAGTTTTGAAAAAAACTCTCAGGCTGTATCTTTAGCTCTTTCTGGCTTCGTCTGTTTTGGTAGTAGTTTGTCAAAAACAGATCGTATCCGACGTGCAAACATCACCTCGGCAGGAGATTGGGAAGCTGGTGTTTTTTCATTAGGTGTAATCCTGTAGACTTGAAAGAACTGTTAAAGGGCTTTTTCAGTCGGTGTAGCCCTAGCTTTTTTCAGAGCTCTCTTCAAGGTATCTACAAATCTCAGCCTGTCCGTTTGACCTAGGATGATATGGAGCGGTAGTAATGTGATTGACCCGATACGTTTTACAGAAGTCACTAAATTCTGCTGATGTGAACCGACTTCCATTATCGGACACTAAGGTGTCGACTACCCCGAATCTAGCAAACAGTTCATGAAGAAATTTTATTGTGATTTTAGTAGTTGATTTTTACATACATGTATTTCGGGCCACTTTGATAAACTGTCGACTACAATGAGGTAGTAATATAGGGCCCGCGATGTCAGCGTGGATTCTAGACCACGGTAGGTCCGTTTTTGGCCAGGGACTAACTTTAACAGGAGGTGCCTTTGCTGCCAAGTTTAAGTTTGAAACCATAGTCTTGAATATTGGTGAAAACTTTGTGGATATGATCCTTATGTTCCACTACGTTTTGACATTTTATCACGATGTCGTTTAAATAAGCTACTGCGAAGTCAAGACCGCACAACATAGTATCCATGACTTGCTGAAAAATTGCTGGCGCGATATTGACCCCAAACGGTAAACGTTCGAATTTATATAATCCGCGGTGCGTATTTATACACAATAGCTTCGAACTCATCTCTTCAACCGGAATTTGCAAGTAATTGACCTTACCGCGTCGGTAAGGTCAATTTTCAAAAAAAAAAATCAAAACCATTAAGCGTCGCAACAATGTCTTCTGGGCCAGGAAGAGGATACTGAATCCTTCAGAACAGCATTTAATCTTGTCGAATAATCAGCGCAAACGCGTATGTCTTTCGACTTCTTTTTTACATAAACCGCTGGTGCGGCCCATTCGCTGTACTCTTAGATAGGACACCAGTTTTTTTTCTAATCTGTCAAGCTCCTCGTTAATTTGTTCCAATGAGGCAAAAAGGCACATTTCGCTTCTTTTTGAACACTGTCTTGTAATTCAATTTTTGCCATCATCTTGTTACACCTGCCTAACCCACCAGAAAAAAAAATTCCTGGATAGGCTTCCCTCTGTTCTTTTTTCAGTTTTGGCATTCCAATTTAATTTTTTGGCAATAAGAATTTATAGGCAAGTTCCAAAGCTGGAATTGTGTCATCCAATCAGTGCCAAATAGGTTGTTAGTATTTTTCAGTACGAACAATTTTAATTTAAGAGTCTTCCCGCTGAACGTTATATTTGTAATCAATTCTCCCTCGAATTTAATTTTTTTCTCCTGTTACTCATCTTGCAAGATTTTATGGTTGGCTTACCGAATCTTAGTTAAATCAGAACCCGAATCTAGTTGAAATTCTACATTTTTGTTTAACATTTTTACGTGCAAGAATTTCCTGATATTAGCACAGTCTCGTTCGTCCGACTTTGTATTTTTTATGCAGATATTGGTTTTATTTTTAGATCGGCAATGCGAACTTTTGTGTCCGACTGTTACAAATGTAACATTTTTTATTCTGGAACATACAATCTTTGTACCAATGTAGAGTCCCACATCCGTAGCATGGGTTAAGGGGCAAATTTGTTTTTTTTTTTTTTCTTTGTTTCAGTTTTAGGAGACTTTGTTGGTTTATGTTTGTAGCGTACTTTTTTGACGTGAGCAACACCAGATTTTAATATTTTTAGAATCCTGCTTTAAACTGACGTACCTTTGATATTTTTCAGCGATCTGCTGAGAGTTATATTCGGCTTATTCTCCAATTTGTTTAGTATTCTTTGCCTAATTTCTGCATCTTTTGCTGGCACGAGTCCTTGCATGAATATCAAGCATTTGAAGTTATTCGCACTTACCTCCGCCAATCTAAAATCATCGCAGTGCTTGTTTACAATTGACGCAAAAGTGGTGCAGTCTTCCCTAGTTAGATTAAGACATTTGCATCTCTTATGAAAAAGAGATCTTTGGGCTGAAGAGCTGTTAGTAATTCCACTGCTTAGGTGAATGCCAATTCGCTAGTCTTATGGGGCAGAATGTAGTTAACAAATTTTGTGTGCTCAGTTGTGCCAAGTTTCCTCAGAATAAGACGTACTTTTTTAGAGTCACTCCAATTCGCACAATCTGACGTATACAAGTTCTCATACCTTCTAAAGTATGACGCAAAGGTTATGTCTTCCTCGGGATTGTATGAAAAATTCTCTACCGCACTCCAAATGGTGTTTTTCGAAAGAAGCCAGACGACTTGTCGCGGTTAATCTTGCCCCCCCGTCACCTTTTCGTACCGATCAAGCGCCTTCAGTACCGCCTCAATGTCGCTGCGGGACGACACGAAAGCAGATACGTCATCGGAGTACGCGGAAACCCTGGCTCAAGCCCCTCCAGGAACGGAGATTCCACGTCCAACAATACGGTCTCCCCCCCTTCGACCACTACGAGCATCCTCTTCTCACGGCATATCAAAGTGTTCGGAATCTCTCAAAAAGCTCTGTCGGGTGAGAGTAATTTGGAGCACAGTGTCCCCTGTTCCGATGCCTGACTTGCTAATGACTGCACATACCTCGTTTACTTCACCATACTGGGCGAAAAAGTCTCCCATGTGCTCCTCACTTATATCGGCTGGTACGCCATGGACAGTCACTAGAGTTTTGCGTGTTCCCATATACTCAGTTTGCATTCTCACTATTTTAGTTGTGAGAATGCTTCCGGCCAATTTTTTGGCCTCCTCATTCGTAAGAACGTCCCATAAGGCATTGGACCTCCTTGCTAAGACCAGTGGGGCAAAGTTTAGTGTTTTCAACACCTCCTCCAT